TGTTGTTGCTGTGGTTGTTGTTGATGGTGCTGCTGTTGTTGTTGGTGTTGGTGCTGTTGTTGGTGATGCTGTTGTTGGTGGTGTTATTGTTGGTGATGTAATTGTTGTTGGTGATGGTGGTGTTGGTGTTGTTGCTGCTGCTGTTGTTGGTGGTGGTGTTGGTGATGTTGTTGGTGGTGGTCTTGTTGCTGTTATTGCTGTTGTTGGTGTTGTGGTTGTTTTGTTTGTGTTGTTGGTGGTGTTGTTGTCATTGTTGTTGGTGTTGTTCGTTGTCGTCGACCCACCCGCGACCCACCCGCGACGCACCCCTCGACGCACCCCGTGACCCACCCCGCGACCCACCCCGCGACCCTACCCGCGACCCGCCTACGACCCAACCCGCGACCCACCGGCAGCCCACCGAGCGACCCACCCGCGACCCACCCGCGACCCACCCGTGACCCACCCGCGACCCACCCGCGACCCACCCGCGACCCACCCCGCGACCCATCCGCGACCCATCCGCGACCCACCCGCGACCCACCCCGCGACCCACCCGCGACCCACCCCGCGACGCACCCTCAAAGGAGAAAAAAACACCCGGACCCGACAACTGACGTTTCCTAAACGGCCCCAGGCGTTTACTAAACAGCCCTGACCTGGTCGATTCACTCCTTGTGTGCGTTTACTAGACGGTTTCGCTTGTCGGGGTGATTATTATGGGGTGAACTTTCTGCCCTCTACACCCGCGACCCAACAACGACCCATTTGCGACCCACCCGCGACCTACACATATTGGTTTAACGAAGAAATCGGCGCCTGCGGCGGGCTCGTTGTATGATTTGTGAAACTTTGGCGCCTGCGGCGGGCTTCTCCAGAGTCTCGCGAACTGCGGACGTCCCCACCGCCCCCATCACTCTTATTCGCATCTGCGGTGTGTTACGTATATACATATATATATATATATACACCAACAAAAAAGTTCGGGCTGGGGGCGGAGGAAGGAAGGAGGAACGGGCGACGGAGAAGAGAAAAGAAGGAGAAGACGAAGAGAAGGAGAAGAAGGAAGAGAGAAGGAGAGGAGCAGAAGCAAGAAGAGCAGGAGGAGGAAGAGAGGGAGGATAATCAAACACTTCTTCTTCGCGTTAGAAAAACTAGCGTGTTGCTTGAGACATCGTCGAAAAGCGGATGGTCGCGAACTCGAATAATCTTCGAAAATGGGCGTTTCGCTAAGAAAACGTCCCCACTAAAATGAGAACAGTGATGATTCATGGTGCTCTGCATGATATGAAGATCAGAGCTACGATGCGAACTTTGGGGGTGACAATAAAATTCCCCCCCCACACACACACCGCATGTTGTGACAATTCGAAACCATATACAGCCCAGGGATAATCAGATAAAGGACGTAAAAGGGGGGGCTCGATCATCGTCAGCATGACGTTCGGTGCGCTCGCGCCACATCTGACATCCTATCCCCCCACCACCCCTGCCATACCTTCCCATTGCGCTGGATAGATGTCCTCTCTCCGAAGTGGGTGTCGCATCTGACCTTCGTGACTTGGATGGGGAGGGAGGGAGGAGGTGGAGGAGGAGGAGGGCTGGAGAGGGTCGAGGGATGAGAGGGAAGAAAACAATCTTCGAAAAAGAGACGAACCCACATACGTCGGATGCCCCGTAGTTCTAATAACAGCAAAACAGCGTTTGTACTTAGGAATCCTTACTTCTGCTGTGAAGAACTGGGCCGTGGGGCCGGTTTGGCGGTCATGTACTCGCCGTCGCCGCCCCGTCGCCGCCTCGTCGCCGCCCGTCGTCTGGACAGTGCGGTCGGTCTGGCGGCTGAATACTCGCCGTGGACGCCCCGTCGCCGCCTTAGATCTCACAACATAGTTGCACCGCATAGATTGCTCCGTAAATACTGCACCGCATAGATTGCGCAACGTTGGTTGATCGCATCGCTTGCACAATATACAGTGCACCGCATGGATTGCACCACATGGATTACACAAGCGAACTTGCACAACATAGAAAGCACAACACATTTTGCACCACACAGATTGCACCACAAAGGTTGCACAACATTGAGTGCACACCGTAATTTCCACCACCTAGACTGAGCCAGATAGCTTGCACAACATAGATTCTCGGTTCTAAAAACAGAACAGACTCTATTTCCTTCCAGGGGTGTATCGGTACACCATTTCGTGTCGCAATTTACATTCGATTCTGCCTATCGTTCATCCCAAATATGAACTCGTACAATCCCAGCCCCCCCCCCCCGCCATCCTCCGCAAAGATTACTCTGCGCCGCGCGCACTCGTTTATCCAGAATCATGAGTTGACACTAGTCCGTTGCAAAAACGGGACGAAGTGCACACGCGCGCGTCGTCGCGCGCGCATGCCGAAATACATATATATATATATATATATATATATTTATAATATAACAACAACAATAATACGAATAATAATAATAAATACTAATAATAATAATAAACGCGATTTCGTGAAGAATTCAAAATCGACTGTCCAAACAACCTATGAAAACAAAGTTTCGCAACACGGCGATTTCGTGAAGAATTCAAAATCGACTGTCCAAACAACCTATGAAAACAAAGTTTCGCAACACGGATGTTCAAAACAAACGTGCGCGTTTTTGAGAAGCATCAAGAAATTCATGGGTTTTCAACATGTTCGAACATACGACCAAACGGGCTTCGCGCGCGCGCATGTCGGAATCGTTCGAACGCCCTTGCGCGCGTGCTGTCGCGAGAACCTCGTTTGCAAAACATGTGGCGAAGTGCACACGCGCGCGTCGTCGCGCGCGCATGCCGAAATACTTCAAAAACTTACGGACTCGTGACGAATCCAAAACCGAGTGTCCAAAAAAACATATAAAAAACACGTGGTCAGTTGTCTCAAAAAAAGTGTGCAGGCGCACTTGCGAATTCTTAAGGAAACTATAGGTGTCCAACATGTTCATGGAATTTTGCCAGACGGCTGGCGCCGCATGCCGACATCATTCGCACGCCCTTGCGCGTGTGCTGGGGGGGGCACGATCCGTGTCAAATAAAATCATGCTGGTCACTCTCGCGCGCCGGCCGCTCGCGCATGTCGAAGTCTTTCCGCAACCTCCATCGCCGACGCGAAAATGCCATCATCGTCGTCGGCGTGCTCAGCATCGGCGCCCGCACTGGCCGCGCCTTCGTCGGTGCGAACATCGTCAACAGCATCGCTACTAGTGCCCGCTGGGATGCGCCCAGCGGTTAGCGCCATCGCGGCCGCGCTGGCGGCGCCAAACTAGCTGGCCGCTGCGCGCGCGTGCTAGGGTTGGCGCGGCCGCAGAGATGCACCAGCCAACGCCAACCATGCATCGCAATGGCCACCGCGTGGGTTTTGCAAACCAAGTTGCGGGTGGGCGGGTGGGGTGTTTGCAAGAGCTTGGGATGTGCCAGTTCGATTGTGAAAATCAATTGCGCCACGTCGATTGTGCCACATGTGTTGTACAATATACATTGCACAATCTGTAGATTCCTAGAAACATACGATTTGGAGTCCACGCTGGCTACCATATGTTCCATAGACTCGGCGGAAAAATTCCGGGGTAAATCAATGATGCAGTCAATCTCCTGCTCGAAATCTCGATGCGTTCGCGCCACATCTGAAATCCTGCTCCTCCCACCAATCCCTTCCAGTTTCGCTGGTGTGTTCTTTGTATCCGCCGACGGGTGTCATAGCGGACCTGAAACCCCAAAGGACCCCTTGTTTATTGCGTTATGCGCCATCAGATAAGCGGAGCTGCGTACCTAGGAGGAGACGGCGGCGGATGACTGGAGGATGAGTGGGAGGACGTGCAAGATGAGGAAGGAGGACGGAAGAGGGGGAAAGGGGGAAGGGATGGGGCAGGGGGGGCGGGGTGGGAGGAGGATGTGTGCCATCTTGCACCCCAAATGGCAAGTCGTTACGCCGTGTGTTAGCTGTGTGGTGCAATGTATATGGTGCAAGCGAAGCGGTGCAAGCTACCTGGTGAAATCTGTGTGGTGTAAGCTGCGAGGTGTAGGCCATGCGGTGCAAGCTAATTATGCAGCGCAGGCTACGAGGTGCAAGCTGCGTGGTGCTTGCCGTGCGGTGCAACATCTGTGGTGCAAGCTGCGTGGTGCCAGCTGTGTGGTGCAAGCTGCGTAGTGCAAGCTGTGGTGCAAGCTGCGTGGTGAAAACTATGTAGCGTTAGGTCGGGCGTGTCCCCTACAGGCGGACCTTGGAGGACACATAAAAAATTATCAAAAGATGTTCGAACATGGTCAAAGAAGCAATCGAAAAATCCTGCCCAAACATTGTTTTACTGTTTTTCAATATTCCCCCTGTAGAGGAACATGGCCGACTTAAACGTAGCGCAATCTGTGCGGCCACCCAGCGCCCACGAGGCGCCCACGAGGCGCCCTCGGGCGGCGGACGACCGCAGATGGGCGACGACGGCGACGGCAACGGCGGCGCGGCCGCCGCCGCCGACGCCGTGTCCGCGCCGCCGATGGGGCCGCACAGAGGCCTCCGAGTGGAGGGTTTCTCCGAAGGGCTTAGGCAACCCGTCCTCCTCCTCCTCCTCCTCCTCCTCTCTCCTCCTCCTCCTCCTCCTCCTCCTCCTCCCCTCCTCCTCCTCCTCCTCCTCCTCCCTCCTCCTCCTCCTCCTCCCTCCTCCCCATCCTCCTCCTCCACCTCCTCCTCCTCCTCCTCCTTCTCCTCCTCGGGTCGCCTACGGCACCAGGGGAAATCGTGCACCTCCGAGGGGGCCGCCGAGGGGGCCGCCAAAGGGCAGGTGGCCCCAGCATCGAATCGACAAGTCGAATCGGGTCGCCCCGAAGATCGAGTCGGCAGAAGCCGGCAGAGGTCGGCTGCCGAATCGAAATCGGCAGAAGTCGGCAGGGCCGCCTTCCCCAGGGGGCCCCCCTTAGGGGGGGCGCCTGGGGGAGGGCGGGCGGCGGCGAAGGTGGGCGAAGAAAGGTGGCGAGGAGCCCGCGCCGGACCTGCTCGGCGGGGAGCATCTCGGGCGGCGGGTTGCTCCAGTCCAGCGGCCTCGGATGGGGAGGGGGAAGAGAGGCTCCAGGCGGATGCCGCTACGGAGGGTGGCGCTCACGGAGGCGCTGCGGAGGCCACTCGGAGTTTCTTGGAGGCTCATCAGCATCATCATCCACATCATCATCGCCATCGGCTCCGTCAGCATCAGAATCATCGTCATCGGCGTCATCGTCATCACCAGCATCAACATCAACATCATCAACCCAATCAGTAGCAGCAACATCGCCGTCATCACGGTCATCACCCTCACCATCATCGGCAACAGCTTCATCATCGTCATCGCCGGCGCCGTCGACAGCATCGTAAGCAGCATCATCCTCATCAGCAGCAGCAGCGTCATCGTCGTCAACATCGCCATCATCATCAGCAGCAGCAGCAACAGCAAAATCATCATCATCATCATCATCATCATCATCATCAGCAGCATCATCATCATCATCATCATCAGCATCGTAAGCAGCATCATCAGCAGCACCACCATCATCCTCATCATCACCACCACCATCATCCTCATCATCCCAATCATCATCATCATCATCATCATCATCAGCAGCAGCATCATCATCATCATCAGCATCAGCATCATCATCATTATCATCATCAGTAGCATCATCATCAGCATCATCAGCATTATCATCAGTAGTATCAACAGCATGATCATAACCATCGTCGTCATCGGTGTCATCATCACCATCATCAACAGCATCATCATCGTCATCATCATCACCATCATCATCGGCAGCATCATCACCATCATCATCATCATCCTCATCCTCACCCCCATCCTCATCATCATCAACAGCAGTAGCATCATCATCAGCATCAGCATCAGCAGCATATCAGCAGCATGAACATCATCAGCAGCAGCATCAGCATCACCGTCATAATCATCATCATGCTAACAATGAGAATGATAACTAACATCATAATTATCAGTAGCAGCATCATCATCATCAACATCAACATCAGCGGCACTGTCAGCATCGTGAGCATCATCATCATAAGCAACTTCATCACCGCCAGCGCCATCATTATCATCACTTGCAACATCATCATCATTCTCGGAATCATCATCATCATCATCCTCATCATCATCATCATCATCATCATCGTCATCATCATCAGCATCAGCATCATCATCACCGTCATCGAGTCGTCGAGGCCAGCATCACCATCATCATCAGCAGCTGCAGCAGCAGCAATAGCATCATCTTCATAATGTTCACCGCGATCATCTCATTCACGATCACCGTCACCAGCGTCGTCGTCACCGTCGTCTTAATCACAAGCAGCAGCAGAAAAAAACACAATCGCAGGCACCCACACCATCACAACGAGCAGCTGGAGCAACTATCCTCATAATGGTCATCCGCGTCAGGGTTATCTGTATCATCCTGCTGTGTTCCCCATACGTAGTCTCCCCCTCCTGCCGCTCCTGCTGGAGGCCCGCGAGGCTTTGTCTGGGAGGTTTCCGATGTAGATGAGATTGGGCAATTCTGTAGCGGACACCTTCGCAGGGGCCGCGGTTGCTAAATGTCAGATTGACGTAGAGACGAGAGCGCGTGTAGACATTTGGGAGCACAAGATATATGCTGTCAAGCTCCGTCGTCTCCGAGCCACGATGGGTACGCTTGAGGCAGAGAAACGGCTTGGGCCGAGGGAAAGGAAAAAGCGTGAGACCTGCCCTCCTCCCCCTCCTGCCCCCTCGGTGGTCCAGATCTCTTCGACCATCTATTGCCTTGATGAAACGGGGCGCCGTTGCGCTCGGTGCTGTAGTTCCGCCACCCTTGCAAGAAGAGCCATCTGGAGGGATACCCCGTGGGCTCACCCTGCTCACGCGTATGGCGACTCCTTCGAGGCCCCGTCTGGAGTGAAGCTGCACAGTGCGGGGGGGGGGGGGTACATCACACGCACTGCATGCGTTTGCACGGCACGCTGAAGCTTTGGTTTTGTAGCCGACGTGGCTGCTTCGCCAATCAGATGCGTAAGGGTCTTGGGAACGAATGCCACGGGACCGCGAACTCCAGCCGATCGGAGTACCTGTCCCGCATTGCCGATGGCCAGTGACCGAAGGTACTCAGCAGGGCAGGGAAGGTTCGCAGGGGCTCGTAATTTAGGCGCACTTCGCTTCAGCAATGGGGTCGAACTCGAACTCCTCCCGCTCCTCCTCCCCCATCCTGCTCATCGTCATCCGTATCATCGTCATCATCATCATCATCATCATCAGCAGCAGCAGCATCATCATCGTCATCATCAGCAGCAGCATCATAATCCGCATCCCCATCATCATCATCATCATCATCATCATCATCATCATCATCATCATCATCAGCATCATCATCATCAGCATCAGCATCATCATCATCATCAGCATCATCATCATCATCATCGTCGTCCTCAACAGCACCATCAACATCATGAGCATCAGCATCAGCATCAGCATCAGCATCAGCATCGTAATAATCATCACCAGCATCATCAGCATTAGCATCGACATCGTCATACTACGAATGATAAGTATTACCCTCAGAACATAAGAATTGAAAAAACTAATAATCACAATACGTGAAACAAAAATCAAAATCAGCATCATCAGCATCGTCCTGATCCTCATCATCATGATCATCAGCATCATCATCACCACCATCATCATCGCAATCACCATCACCATCAACATCACCAGCAGCATGAACATCATTATCACCATCACCATCATGAGCATCAGCATCAGCATCAGCATCAGCATCAACATCATAATCATCAGCATTAGCATCAGCACCATCATAATACGTATGATAAGTATTATGATAAGAATGATAAGAATAACTGGACATGAACAAAAACAAAATTTAAAATTAACATCATAATCATCATCAGCATCCTCCTCCTCCTCATCATCATGATCATCATCATCGTCATCACCATCACCAGCATCATCATCCTCAGCAGCAGCATCATCACCATCACCATCATGAGCATCAGCACCAACATCAGCATCATCATCAGCATCAGCATCATCATCATCATCAGCATCAGCAGCATCATAATTCGAATGATACGTACGACACCAATAATCATAAGAATAGTAGATAAAAATGAAGAATCACACTAATTAAAATAAACATCAGAATCATCATCAGCAGCATCATCCTCATCCTCATCATCATGATCGTCAGCATCACCATCACCATCACCATCACCATCAACATCATCACCATCACCATCACCATCACCATCACCATCACCATCATCATCATCATCATCATCATCATCATCATCATCATCATCATCATCATCATCATCATCATCACCCGGCTCCCCATCCGCAGAGTAACCAAAGCAATGAAAGAACAGGCCTGGCCGTAACGCGCACAGCGTGGGAGGAGAAACACGAAGAGTACGCTCCTGGCTCCTCAGGCTCCTCCCTCGCCTGCCCCTGCCGATATCGCTGCCCTTTCTTGATCAACAGCCCCTACAGCAGGCACATACGACAAGGAAGTTTGCTGTAACAACTCCAGGGGGACAGCCTTCTTCGAATCACTCTGCGGCCCCAGAGGGAGATAAGAAACTGTCGTGGGGTACCCGTTGGCAGGCCAATATCTTGTTCAGAATGCCTACTGTACAAGACGACGAAGCCAGGACGAGGAGAAAATCGGGTACAGATAAATCGAGAACCCCTGAGATCCTGCGGCTCTGGAGGATGCCTCACCGGTCGTCGCTGCCCAGGGCCGCGCGCTCTGGCGGGTGTCGCGCTCACTGCTTCCGTCCACGGAATTTGACGAGGATGCGAGCTGGAGGCGGCAAAGGGGGTCCGAGTTGGATAAGCCCAGAGAACATCCGCCAAGAGGGGAGGATATGGAGGCAGATTCGCTCAAAGTCGGTCCCCAAACCCCTCCAGGGGTCGAAAATGAGAGGTTGTCCAGGCCACGTCCGGCCGTGTCGACGAGAGGGCCCAGGGACACACAAATGAATACGTAGACACAAATCCCCGGACTCTCCACATTTGGGCGTATTTTCCTGAGTTTCGTCTTCCCGTCCACTTCCCATATTTTCCAGATGTTCCTGGGAATCGGCGATTGTTTGTGTCTGTTGTATGCTGTTTTCCCTCCTGACATTTCTGCTGGCCGGAGCCAGTGCTGGGCCACCTCAGGACCTCAGCCCCCCAAGCCAGCGGTCCCGAGGACTCGGGGCGTTGCCCGAAGTGCGCCGACACACGCAGTCAACTCGAACATAACACAGATGCGCGGTAAGGATGCAAGGGCCTTGGGGGGCCATGTCGACACCTTCCGAGAGGGGTGCGGCCAGCCCCTCTCGGAAGGGTCCAAGAACGAGCCGGGTCCAAGCGCGGGGCCAAGAGACGCGGATCCAAGAGATCCGCGCTGAGCGCCGCAAGTGTATGCTCACGGCGCTGCCTCTCCGTCGAGGGGCAGCTGCACGTGCAGGCAGGGCGGAGGCGAGGTCGGCAGGCCGCGCCTGCGCGCGCAGGCGCCTGAAGGAGAGAGGGGCGCGTGTCACGGGGCGGCGGCGGCGCGAGGAGAGGCGGGGTGGCGGCTGCGGCGGGGGGGGCCCTGATCCCGAGGGCGCGGTCGGCCTCCCCACCCCCCACCCCCCAGGAAGCTGGGGGGGGCGAGGCTCCTCCTCCTCCTCCTCCTCCTCCTCCTCCTCCTCCTCCTCCTCCTCCTCTCTCCTCCTCCTCCTGCCTCCTCCTCCTCCTCCTCGTCCTCCTCCCCCCCCTCCTCCTCCTCCTCCTCCTCCCCTCCTCCTCCTTCTCCTCCTCCTCCTCCTCCTCCTCCTCCTCCTCCTTCCGCCTCCTCCGCCTCCTCCTCCGCTCCTCCTCCTCCTCCACAATGACTCATAATATCTACTCTCCCTCTTCCCCTGATGACGTCTTGGGAGTAGCCGCCCCCCCCCCCGCGTACTGTTTTTTACACACAGGTTTCCCCGGAGTTGGGTTTTCGCCTGCATTTGTTTCCAAAATGCTGCTCTCGCTGAGGCGC